GGACAGGAAGGCCTGGCGCAATATGGTTCATGGGGTCACGAAGAGTCGGACACGACTTAACGACTAAACAACAACAACAATATAGGAAATGGGGAAAAAAGACATATAAACCAAAGAAGACAGCCACCGAAAATGTAGGGATTGTGTTAGAAAGGCTAAAGTACAGAATGGGCCGAGGCTTATGAGAAATATCAAACAACAACGTTTTTTTTTCCAGGTATATCAGAAGGAACAACAAGATGGAGGAGACCTACCTTGGCAGTAGTAAATGTGACAGGAAACTGGGTGTTCTAAACAGATCATGGGCTGAACACGAGCCAACGCTGTGATGCAGATGCTTAAAAGGTAAATGTTATTTGGGAATGAATTAAGAAGAGCACAGAATCCAGATTGTGGGTAGTAATTGTCCCACTTTTACTCAGTCAGGTCCCACTTGGAATACAGTGTTGAGTTCTGAGCATCGCGGTTTAAAAGTTATAGTTTTAGAACTAATGAAGAGAAGTCGTTACGACAGCCTTCACCAACTTCTGGGAATGTTGGGTTGATATAGCTTTACTCTGCCAGTTCCGGAAGCTGCAATCCCGAGCACTGTCTGAATGTCAAATTAGGCCTCAGGAGATCTGAGTTCATTGCCTTACTTGGCCTGGAAGTTATTGGATGACCTTAGACCAGTGTTGTCCAAACTTGGCCACTTTAAGATAAGTGGACTTCAACTCCCAGCTGGGGAGAATTCTGGGAGTTGAAGTCCATACATCTTAAAGTTGCCAAGGTTGAGAAATACTGTTCTAAAGGGTCAAAGGGGGGAGCATAAGAAAAGCATTGCTTCCAGGTCCTGTCCTCTTCATTTTATTTTCACAACTTCCCTGAAAGGTAGGGAAGCTAAATTACAACACCGAGAATAGTCTAAGGCAGTGTTGTCCAAACTTGGCCACTTTAAGATAAGTGGACTTCAACTCCCAGAATTCCCCAGCTGGGGAACTGAAGTCCACTCATCTTAAAGTGGCCAAGTTTGGACAACACTGCCTTAGACTATTCTCGGTGTTGTAATTTAGCTTCCCTACCTTTCAGGGAAGTTGTGAAAATAAAATGAAGAGGACAGGACCTGGAAGCAATGCTTTTCTTATGCTCCCCCCTTTGACCCTTTAGAACAGTATTTCTCAACCTTGGCAACTTTAAGATGTATGGACTTCAACTCCCAGAACCCCCCAGCCAGCATGGCTGGCTAAGGAATTTTGGGAGTTGAAGTCCACGCATCTTAAAGTTGCCAAGGCTTTAGAATATGCTCCCCCCAACAAAGATCTGGATAGCCCCCACTTTGGTCCCCTTTCAGAGAATGGTGAAAACAGCCTTTTCAGACGAGCCTTTGGATACCGTTATCTACCCTTTGTTTCCTATCAGATCAGCAGAGGGCTATTTTAAATTTTACTGATTTTTTTTTACAGCTTCTGTAGTTTTCATGAAATGATTTATAAACTGCCTAGAGATGTGTAATTGTGGTGGTATGGAGTAAATAAACAATATTCCATGATCTGTAACATTTATTTTAGACTTCCTGGGCAAACAAGTATAATTAGTGCTGCAGGAGCTGGTCTTGTACTGGGAAAGCCTCAATGGGAGGGAAAAATGCCATAATCGGGCAGGGTTAATTGACATAGTTCCAAGTCCCTCAAGCTTTCTGTCCCTCCAACATACACAATGCAATAACTGGAAAAATCAGATGCATTAGCCTGTAGTCCCACCACCTCTGGCTGCATTCACACAACTCACTAAACTTGGGTTAACAAAAGACCGTGGCTGTGCTGACAAAACAGGCCATTCCCCAAAGCGCTCAACCCCATGATGGTTTAATGCAATGGCCCGATTTATGCAACACACTAAGACAATGGCTGGGATTCCCACAGCCCGCTGCACGGCCAAAGCAAGGCAGGGGAGCTCCTACCGGGAGGCATCCGATGAAATGGTCCTCCTGCGCCATATTTACCTGCGTGCAAAAAAGCTGAGATCCCTGGGGCCGCATTAAGGGCGAGGCCTCCGCTCCAGCCTTCAGGAGGGTGTGCGAGGCACGTGCTTGGCCTCACAATCACCTTGTGAATACTTCCTCCCAACAGGCTCTCTCTGGCTCAGACCAAGCTGTCTGTCTTGCATCAGAGGTGCTGGTTGCCGTGGCAACAGGCGCTCGCCTCACAATGCCGCCGCCTTCCCCAGTTCTGGCTGGCGTAGCAACGCAGCCGAGGAACCTGTTTGGGAACTGCACCCAGCCTGATCGGGGTTGCGCCGCGTGGAGCTCCCCTTGATTTTTGTTTCCTGCCCTTTAAACTGCGTGGGAAAGGGAAGCAGACTCAAGCCCAAACCAAGGGGACTGCTTTTACAGGCTCCCCAAGGATCTCTCGGCTTTCCCCCAAAGGAAGTTTGCACAACAAGTCCGGGTCACCGGTTAAGACACCCAAGGCAGCCACATAAATGGGTAGATCCACGTAAAGGCCAAGAAGCAGCACAGGAAGGGGGAAAAAGTGGTTGCTAAGGTCCTTAATAATTGGTGGCTTGTCTGGTGTCTTCCTTGGCCACGCTTGCTTGTTTCCCAGGCTCTCCTGAGATCTCACGGAAGTTGGACAGGATGGTCTCCCACACACGATCTGTTAAGTCTGGGGTATCAACCGGGCTCAATCCCTTGGTCTTCACCGGTGGAAGAACCCGGATGGTGATGTCCCCTTGGAGGAGAGAAAATAAAGAAACCTATTGTGGCATGGGTAATAAGAGTCCAGATGCATGCAATGCCTCATCCAGATGACCAGAGTTAAGCTTGCAGGGTCCCAGCTGGTTCGGGGAAGGCATAATCATCCCTAAGTTGCACAAGTTGAGTTGTGTATGAGCAACATAAAACCAGAGCTATGACATCCCATCACTTGACTTTGTAGCTAATGAGTCTAAACCAGTGTTTCTCAACCTCGGCAGCTTGAAGATGTGTGGACTTCAATTCCCAGAATTCTCCAGCCAGCCTTGCTGGCTGGGGAATTCTGGGAGTTGAAGTCCACACATCTTCAAGCTGCCGAGGTTGAGAAACACTGGTCTAAACTTAGTATGCACTAGTTTGCATGAACTATAGACCTTCTCTGCCATTCAGAAGTTCTCCACTCATGCTACATTCAGAGAGATTCTGGCTTTCAAGCCAAAGTGGGCCACCCGTGACCCTGCATGTGCCTCAGCCTATTTGGGGGCCCTTTAGAGCTCCCATGATTATACTGCTAAGATGTGACAACAGACTAACAGCCGCACCACTTCTTTGTTTTTTAAAAGAAATCCTCCAATAAGGAACAAAATAACCCACCCTAAGAGCAGGCTGAACATCTTGGCCCTGTCCTCTCCAGGGAGGTTAAATCAAGTGGACTTCCCAGTCCAAATTTGTTATCTGCCCCTAGGGGCCTGCAGTGCAGTGTCATGAAGGGCTGACCTACAATATTTCAGTCCCTGCCCCTTACACTTCCAGGTCCTCAGGACCTCCACATGAGAGGTGAGATGTTGCTACCTCTATAGGAAGAAGCCCCAGACAAGCATTGACCTAGCTATTCCCGGCGCAAGAGAATACCAGATGTGAATTTGTTAGTCTTCATGTTGAAAAATGGTTCGTAAGAGGACATCACCACAGGAATGATTGGCACCTGCATGGAAAGAAGAACAATCACTGCCCAGAAGGGAGGTATTGCTACCACGGCATTGTGAAAGTGGAGTCATGAAGCCAACCTCTCCACCCGGGTGTCAGCAGGTAACAAGTACATATGGCGGCCATTGCACATAACAAACGAGGAATTTCAATCAAACCATCACAGCCACCATCTTGACTGGTTTGACCATACCCTGTGGACACCCCATCTCCTTAGCAGTTGCTTTTAGGTAGTTCTTTGCAACAACTGCCTAAAGGAAAACGGAAGAGAAATAGCATATGTGGCCACATCCATGTAGTGATATGCTATTGCTGCAATCTCTGATAAGCTTAAAATCAGATCTGAGGAATGGGGAAGGCCTTGCTGAGAGGAAGACCCCCCAGGATCTTTTCACACAAATCAAGGCTTGCTGCTGTTTGGTTCTGTTTGTAAAAGGCATGTAAAAACAACCCTGGTGGGAAAGTTTGTTGTCCCCAAAAGATTCCTCTGTCTTTGCTTCCTTGCAAATGAGGGGTTAACTTAAACATCAGCAGTAGAGTTTAAGAACCACATTTTAAGAAACACTGATCTGTTCCACTGTCCCCATCCCTGCTCATTGCTTTGGTATGGTTCCTCAAACATTTATTATTCTGTCTTCAGTTGGTTTTTGGGTGTGTTCTCTCCCCCCCTTCCATAAAATTCACCCCACTTAAAGTTTATACTCATGCACACTTTTAATAGCAACATATTAAGCTGAAAGGAAGTGATTCAATCTAGCGTTGTGGTGGCATTTTGTGGGAAGAAGACAAAACAGCTCTCCTCAACCCTGAATTTATAGTATTTAATAAGAAAATATTTTTCTAATATGAGATACAAAGGTTTTTGTTTTTTACATTGCTGGCTTTGGGTGGTAGTTCAGTTGCCAATAATAATTATTACTGTATGCAAATAATGATTATGATTATGCATTTCTTAGTTTGCCGCCTTGATGGTCCCGGTTTCTACAACAGAATGACTCACAGAAATAGCACTGCTCTAGGATCTGCATTCCTATCAGAGCTAAATGAAGAAATACGAAGTGTGGAAATGGCAGAACCTTACCTGGGCCTTCACTGCCAGATGGAAAGCCTCTCTTTGCAAGGGCTCCATGGTGGATTCACCAGTTCTGTGGCCTTCAGAGAATGCCCATATTCGCAGCTAAATCAGACAGGAAAGAACATGTTTAATCATGAATACATTAGACCAGTGTTTCTCAACCTTGGCCACTTGAAAATGTGTTGGTCCACACATCTTAAAAGTTGCTGAGATTGAGAAACGTTATCCTAAGATGTATGTAGGTTTCATTTAAGAGTATGGCTGAAAAAATCCAGATGACCTCTAAATGGTAGCATTGGAAAACAGAAAACAAATTCTTTGCCGCCATCCAGAAGTTCCCTGAATTTTCTCTGAACATTTGAGAACCCCGTCATGGAATGGAATGTAGGGTCTCAGATCTCTTCTGTCCTCCGCATTTGGAATAAGCATGAAACATAAGTAATAAGGCTGCCTCCAAATTTGTTGCAACACCTGAGTAAAGGATTACACAGTATGTTCCCTTTCACATTGCCACCGTTCCATTTCCTAAATGTTCAGAAACAGTTTCAAGCTGAGTTGTAGTTGTCTGTTACCACTGCACTTGAAACTCAAGGCAGGATGTGCAAAAACTAGGATTCTAACCCTAACCCCAAATCCATCTTCTTAATCGTGCTAAAAAATGGGTGCTTTGTAAAAAAAATCAAAGCCTTTGCAATGAGAGCAGGCTGCAATGCCATCACAGTGCTACTCCTCTGCTAAGTCTTTAAAAAGATAAATAAAATGCTAATGGGCAACAAAGTAGGCTCACCCCTATAGAGAGGGAAGAGAGCCTATGAGTCAAGAGTTCCCAGATGAAAAAATGGCCTGTCCCAAAGCAGAAGTGGAGTAGAAAGGGAAATAAATGACCCTGTGGGATCACATGGGTCTTCAACCAGTCCAGGAACGATCCAAAAGCTATACATAGAGTTACCCAATATGTAGTGTGCCATATCTGGTGGGCATCCTCTTGGGGAAGGGTATCTTTGGGCTGTTAGAAGAACCAATCCTTTTCCCAGGAAAGCCCTAGGCCAATGTTGTCCGAACTTGGCCACTTTAAGATGAGTGGACTTCAACTCCCAGAATTCCCCAGCCAGCCATGCTGCCGGGGGAATTCTGGGGGGTGGAGGCCACATATCTTAAAGAAGCCAAATTCGTGTAACACTGGCCTAGGGCTTTCCTGGGAAAAGGATTGGTTCTTCTAACA